GCAAGACGCTGTACAAGCACCCCACGATGGCACACCATGAAGGAGAACACGAAAATGGGCCTTTTCTGTGAAAGGATGGAAAGCAGAAACGCAAAATAGTACGTGTTAGGTCAGATAATGGCCCGGCATCGAGCTACTCAAGACATCAGGGTGGTGAAAGTGTAAAAGGCAGCGATGGTGTCATCCTAAGAAGCCAGCCGAAGTCAAGAGGAGGTGGGTAAGAGTATCTTAGTAGATAAACGAAGAGTTCCCCTACAAGAGCAACCCACGACTAGCGACGACGAGTCCCTTCGCGTTCTTGACTGAGTCAGGATACTCCTAGAATCAACTTCTCTCTCGAACAAGATCGGTCCGCAACGTCAGATACCATGGTGAGGGGTCACGTTGAGGGATTACTGGAAACCATTCTCTATCGCAGCGACATCGCCCTGATAGTAAATAGCCAGAGAAAACCTTCAGGATGGTCGAAAATGGCAGAAAAGGCTTGAGAGTGAGTTACAGCCGCGCGTGAAGGAAACCAAACCCCTCTGCTCCGAAGAGTATACATAGTCAATTGTAGAACGCCTCGGGAAGATTCTTTGTGACCGAAACTAGGAGAGCACTCCCAATGCTTGGGGAGCGATGGCGCCGGTGGAGGTGATGTGAATCAAGCAAGAGAGACCCGAATAAAGGTATCGAGGATGAAGTGGAAGGTGAGTAGTGGCATCCTTCAGGCGCGGTGATGCAGCAGGGCACTCAAGGGCAAGGTGTTCCCTTCAATGGTAAGGTTTGCGATGACATACGGTAGCGAGTTCTGGCCCCTGGACAAAAATCACGTGAAACAGCGAAGAGAGGTTAGAACGGCTACGCAGACCGCCCCTGTCCAACTGGGCGCGCGAAAAGAGTTAGCATTAATATGGAAATGTGTCAAAGGGACTACAGGTTCACCGTTGAGAAAAGCGATGGACTTCAATGGGACAAGGCAAGCGACCGCGCGGAATTTCAAAGGAGTGCTGAGGGGACACCCTCCACTGAATTCTACCTGAATTAAACAAGCTTCCCGTTTGCGTCGGTGAACTGGTCCTTGATAAACTTGAGTAAATAACACTACTTCTATTTGGAACAACTGCAGTGCAGCTTATTGTATCGTATCATATTCCAATGACAGCATGATTCTGAATGGGAATATTATCTATGGCGCACTCCAAAACAAATCGATGATCAATGCCAAGCTCCACATTTTTTCAAGTCCATGTCTGTACTCG